TGGCTTTTGCTCTTTTGTTTTAGGTAGATTGGAAGTTGAAAGGTTGTGAATTTCAAAAAGTCAGGAGAGCAAGTCGCCTAAAGTCCAGAAGCCCAGAAATGGATCACAGGCCAAATTTTGCATCAAGGCCCCAAGGATCCAAGAACAGCCTTTGGGATCCAGACCTATTCATTATCGTCAAGAAAAGGATTCATCCAGCAGATGATGCTGTATTTGGATATGAACATTCTCCCCCTATAATCAAGGAGGTATAATGGAGAGTGTGCCCCCAGGGAGTAGGGAGGAAATATTTTAACTCCCTGCCATATTTCAAAGTAAAGATCTCTTTGTAAAAGCTAATTGATATGTATTGGTTAAATGGAACCAGGACTCTAATCACTGGAGGCTAAGTGTGAGGGAACATATCAGAATGGGTACTCAAACCAAAGATAGTAGAGAAGAAATATCTCCAACCCCTCTGGAGTACCCATAGAACCCTGAGGGGAAAACGCAGATGGTTTTAATCTGGAAGAGACTGCCTACAGTTAATAGGAAGCACTTTTAAAGTATATAGTACCTGACCCTGGCCTTATTGGTTGAAGAAATTGCCCATTACTACCATTTGTGTGTTCTACATGGGGTAGGGGTGATGTAGGAGTGAGGTTTAAATTATTTTAAACCTATATACTAGATAGAAGTCTAGAAACAAAAACAAACAAAAAAATTCCCTCCAGGATGGGATATTGAGCAATGAGACTGTACAAACAAACAGGAAGGTAGATGATACAGGCAGCTAGGCTAGGACATTTATAAAATGTTCATTGGTCCCAAGGTATGTTTGTTACTCAATTCTGTAAAGCAAATTTGATTTATTCAATTCAACAAGCATTAATAAAGTGCCTACGATTTGCTAGGCACTTTGTTGTTCACTGAGGGCACAAAGACAAAAACGAAATAGGCTGTGCCTTTCAGGAGTTTACATTCGGGGGGGGGATTAGATGCATACAAATAAATACAAAACACATATGAAACATGTAGGGCAGAATGAAATTAAAGAATTGTAGGACCTTCCCAAGGCAGCACTACTGTATGAGAAAACAGCTTTCAGTGAAAGGGATAAAATTTTTCTCTAATCTCCACTGATTTCCTCCCTCTAGAGAATCACAGGTATTGCTGATGGACATATAAAATGTGAGCTTTTCATGCCTGTCCTTTACTCCTAATCTCTCACAGCAGAGTTTCCTAGCAACAAGGAAGAGAAATGAGGAAGGGAGAAATACTTCAGCATCTAAGAAAAATCAATCAAATTTCATTTTATCCTTCTGGACTCAGAAAAAGGGTGGGCTCACCTTGTCTATGCTAGGATTGCAGTAATATAGATGTAGAGCTAGAAGGGACCTTAGAGGTCATCTAGTTCCCACTACCTCTTATTTTACAGATGAGAAACTGAGGCCCAGAGAGGTTAAGTGAATTGCCCAGAGTCCCACAGAAGGAGAAAGTGGCAGAGCCAGAATTGCATAGTCCCATCCTACTTTCTGTGGTGACAAAAGGGTTGTAATCTTTGTCCCAAAAGTGCTATAGGCCCAAATTTAATGGAAGGACTGAGATATAAAAGGACAAAAATACTAAGGAATTGTGGTGTAGGATTCTCTCTTCCTGGAGGTTGGGACACTTAAAGATTAAGGGATTTATACTACTATGCACAAGCCTTCTCTTTTGGGGAACTCTTCTGAGGCTGCAATGGCCTCACATCTGGCAGGGACCCTGGAACCATGGGCTCCAACGTCACAAAAATCAAAATTCTGGAGGGAGAAGGTCTTGTTCTTCTTTCTATATTTAGTCTCTGCTTGCTTTTATGTACATTACATTTTTTTGTGTTAATAATAGCTAATTGCTAACATTTATGTAGCACCTGTTGCATACCAGGCACTATGCTTTACAGATTATTTCATTTGATCCTCACAACATCTCTGGGAGGTAGGTGCTAATTAAAACAAATATCTCATGTAAAGAAATTGCCTCATGGATTGGCACGTTTATTTTTTAGCAAAAATTTCACATAGTAATCTAGCACAACAGAAAGAACTCTGCAGCTACAAATGGAGGACCTGTTCTTAAAGCCCAACTCTACCATCTCTTCAGGTTTGACTTTAGGCAAGTCACTTGACATCTCTGGGCCTCAGGTTACTGATATGTAAAATAAAAGGAAGTGAAGTAGAAAGAGTACTGGGCGTAAAATCAAGAAGACCTGGATTGGGGCAGCTAGGTGGTGCAGTGGATAGAGCATCGGCCCTGGGTTTCAATAGGACCTGAGTTCAAATCTGGCCTCTGATACATAACACTTATTAGCTGTGTGACCCTGGGCAAGTCACTTAACCCCACTGCCTAACCAAAAAAAAAAAAAAAAGATGACTTGGATTAAAATACAGCTTCAGATACTCAGTAGCTGTGTGACACTAGGCAAGTCACTTAAATTCTGCCTCCTTCAATTTCCTCCATGTTAAATGGGGAGAATGATAGCACCCACTTCCCAGGGTTGTTATAAGGATCAAATGAGATAAAAATTGAAAAAGTGTTTAGCACATAGCAAGGGTTATATGAATGTTAGTTATTATTAGGTGAGATAATATTTGTAAAGCACTTCAGTACCTGGCACACAGTAGGTACTTCGGCGACAGAAGTTAAGTGACTTGGTCAGGGTCTCATGAAGTACATCAGTCTAGATTTGAGCTTAGGTCTTCCTGATTCCAGGTCCAGTGCTCTATCCACTGCACAACCTAGCTGCTTCTAGTTCTATAACTGTGTGATGTGTGATTTCTAAGGTCCTGCCCCGCATGAAGTCTATTATCCTATTTTAAGCACATGTATTCATTCTTCTTTTCAAAGAGGACCATCCATGTGAGATTAATCAGAAGTAATCTACTGAGATGTATACTCAAGAGTCAAAAGTCAAAAAATTCCTGGGTTTATAAAACTAATTCTACTAGGGAATTCTGGGAAGTCACCTTTGTAACAAACACCAACACTACTATCAACAAGATTGTGAACTACAGGTTGTTAAGAGAGCTGGAACAGACTTTAGAAATAAGCTAGTTCAGACCACTCATTTTACAGATGAGGAAACAGTCGGAGAGGTAAGTGATGGCATCAGACTTAGAATCATTGGACTTGAAGTCAAGTCCTGGTCCTATCATTTACTAGAAAATTTACTAAAGAAGATTTTTTTTAAAATGGCACTGAATGGAATTTAATTTTGTCTTTACAAATTGAATCTAAAGACAACTATTAGTAGAATATGGCAGTGCTATAAGATGCTAGCAATTCTATATTCCTTGGTATTTTACCATAGTTGGCAACTGACCCCTGGAGGGTGCAATAAGAGAGCCTTCCCCTCCCCACCTAGCTCAGGCCAGTGTAGGAATGTTCCCCAAAGGCTCATGAACTGAGGGTGTGGCTTCTATGGTGAATACTGAGTAGGATCTTCCTGATCTGATATCAAAATGAGGCCCATGGACTAGATTAAGAAAGCAGTTTTCTGATTCTTAATGGATTCAAACCTTTTCATTCACAAATGGCCTAGAGTGGTTGGCCAGTTCCAGTTGAGCAATGCAGCTCTCTCCCTCCCTCCCTTTCTTCCTTCCATGCTTCCTTCATTCCTTCCTTCCTTCCTTCCTTCTTCCTTCCTTCCTTCTTCCTTCCCTCCTCTCCCTCTGTCTACACAGGGAATCATACACTTATCTGCAAGTACTCTGCCCAAAGGAATATAAATTCTGATCACTGAAACCTCACAATATATCTTGGGGTTTATGGGCTAGATTTCTTTTTTAAGGACCATGGTTTAAATCCATACCACTCTGGTTCTCATTGATTGGCCAAATATAGGTCCCAGCTCAAGCCTCATATAGTCATTGTTTGAGCTCTGATTGGCAGAGTGAGTGTAAACAGCAATTTTTTCTGTTTCTGGCCAAAAACCCTGAAGGTCTTCCCCTCCCAGACTGATTTTGTTTTTTACTAGATAAAAGAGGTCATTCTCCACCTCTTTTCTTCTTAACTAGCTTTAATCACTGATTGGGTGTTGCCTCAGACAAACTGAGACCTGGGAAAGACCTTAACTTAGGCCAAGGTCTCCCACTGCATCTGGGACCATCTCCAGTAGCCCTGATCTATATCTTGCCACAGGATCCAGATGGCTCCAGAAACTAGAGTGAGGCTGGTGACTTTGCACAGCCCTGCCTCACTTAAATCCAATTCACTTGCAAGTCGTGACATCAACTTCCTGATGTCGTGATCCTCTTCGAGGACAAACAACAATAACAAGAGTGGAGCTTACAACAGGAAGTTCTGCCACATTTGGGAGTGGAACTGAGTTATAGCTTCACTTCCTAGCTTTAGGCCACATGTCTGAGAGCACCTCACCCAGTTTGACTAGAAGTAGTAGACCTGACTTCATTCAAGCCCTTTGGGATGTTTGCTCTTGTTTACTTTCTCTTCCATTTAGGTGAGCTTTGAGTTAGAAATTGTCTGAATTGGCTTATAAAGCAATAATGGAGACTAGCAGGTATCCCAACTTCTCTGTAGACAGAGGTAGAGAAAAGATTAATCTTCTACTGAGTAGAGATATAAGTAGTCTATCTGTCTGTCTGTCCCTATCATAAGACCTGAAAGTCCACTGGGAGTCATGTTCAGAGAATATACATTGGGCCAAGGAAGTGTATTAATCTACTAATAATTATTCATTCTATGGATTTAAGATTATTGTTAAAAGTTTTATTTTTCACTTTACAAGATACATTTTCAATATACTGGTATGTGTTGTTGAATTAAGATTTCATCTGATAGCCTATCTCTCCTCAAGCGCTTAGCATTTTCAAAGAAAAGCCAATGATCCCTTAGCCATGAACAGTGGTGCTTCCCAAACAGCTGTAGCAAGCCCACAGATAAATGCACTGAATTTGACAAACATATTTTCAATAAAAAGAAAAAATAATTTCTCAGACAAGAAGCTTTCAATGCTTACTTACCTTTGATTAGTCTCTCGGGCCTTGTCCCCGGCAAGGTCCACATTGCCTGTGCCAAGTGTCCAAAGACAGTGGCATCAAGAGTGGAAAATTTTGGTCCCATAATGTACTTTTTATCACCTACAATAATGAGAGAGTAAAGTGAGCAAAGCCAGTCTCTACTTTTCTCAGATGATCTTAATGACTACATCTTAAACCATTTTTTTAAAAAAACTTTATAATCCATTCTATTTTATCTTTTATTTATTTATGGATGATCAAAAATCATTCACCTTTTCTTTGGGAAAAAGAAAAAAGAAAAAAACAAATATCAAATTAAGGGGAAGAAAAGCCAAGCAAACAAAACAATATATAATACTCAAATATAGTCAAATATGGCAATGACCCTGAAAACTCTGAACTGGATCCACACCAATAAGTGAGAACTTTAGCTAAATCAGAATGAGAATTGCTAAAGATGACATCTCTATGAGAAATTCCTTTCTTCAAATCCTGACAATTAATTCTTGTAGCCAGTTATATAACTGGAATTAGAGGGGGACAAGCAGGGCTTTGCATAGTCAGCAAGAAAATTTAATCAAAATAAGAGATTACCAAATGAATCCCATTTTCTCTCCCTTCCTCTCCACACCCACACCACTGAAATGGTTACATTGTGCAGGTTGATCTGCTGGTGATTCTTTCTCCCTCTTCCTCAACCAAAGTGAAATAGATTTGAGACTATGGTCATATGGCTTGCCCAGAACATTTTTTGAAACTCACCCTGGGCAAGAAAATTCCAGTAATGACTCTGATTCATTCTACCAGAAAAAACATAAAGAAAAATTCTCCCTAAGGTAACAAAGGCCCAAAAGATCTAAATGTAAAGACGTAGATATTTAGATGTAAATCTAACCCAAGGCCAACAATGTCCATGAAATATTACCCCAGTTTTAGCCAAGCTATAGCCATCCTGAATCAGCTTCTAAAATTTGTTTCTAGGTGTTTCTTTAGAAGAAACTCCAAAAAGAGGATTTTTTTAATGATATACTGTAGGGGTTAAAAACACACTTACACACACACACACACACACACACACACACACACACACCCCACTTGTGGGATCAATATCCTTTAAGCAGGAAAGGCAGTATGGCATAATGAGTATATGGAGCTGGTCTCAGAGCCAAGAAGGCTATATTCTGTTCATGCCTCTGATAATTATTAGTTGACTGACTTTGGACAAATCACTTAACTTTACAGTGCCCCAGGCACCTCTCGACATATAAATTGCAGAGACTGAGTTTCCTCTAACAAGAGTCAGAGGAAGAGTTCATATCAATGAAATCTAGTCCTAGTCCTTATTATTAAAAGAATAAGATTGCCTTATCTAAAGAATATTCCACAATGTATGTAACACTCTTCCTTTCCATTGCCATTACCTGCTAATTCTGGCCCTCGTTCTTCACACCTAGGCTCCTGCAATAACTTCTTATGGTTAAAAAGTTTCCTTCTCCTTGTCCCCAACCTCTTCAAACTCTACACCCTTCTGTACACTTCCTACAATACTTCTAATACCCAAGACTGATCAGCAAGAGCACTCTTTCCACTAACACAAACTGAAAGTTGTCCATGCCTCTGTAGTTGGTCATTATGGATTGACATAGCCAGAAAAAAGAATTATTACCAGATAAATATGAGAAATTAGTATTAATAATCAATAATTTGGGGGGAGATTCAGAGATCTCCTCTTCTACGGCCTTTTACACGTTCAGCTGAAGGACATCACTGCTAATGAGAGAAAATGTTTTTTTCTTTTGGGTTACTTTTGAATATTATATATACATATTTATACATACATACATACATAAATACATATATATATATACATATACACACACACACACACACACACACACACACACACACACACACACATATATATATATATATATATATCAACCATAACAAGACTGACTGAGTAACTGTGGGCAATTCACTTAATGCCCCAATGCTTACAGGAAGCTCTCTAAAGCATCTAGTTGCAGAGTAAATAACAGCCATTATTGGTAGGAGTTTTCTCATCAGCATTTCCTCATACCAATAAAATCACAGGTCTGGATCAAAATGTTAATACAGATAAATATAAATTAGATTAGATGACAGATAGATAGATAGATAGATAGATAGATACCCATATCTTGTACCTTATATCCATTCACAGTATGACATTTTAATTCTCTTAAATCCATTAATGACACGCTTTTATAATTCAGAATCTACTTCTGATAAATACAAATTTTCCCCAGTCATACCAAATTTAGATAAATGGTTTTTAGGATATGGTTGCCAAAGTGGGAAAAACTTTCCAGAGAACTGAAAGTACTTATAAAAATAAATTCTCAGATCGCTTTGCTCTGGTCACTTCCAGCAACCTCCATAAGCTCCATTTCTGCCCTCTGGCTACATTCCTGAGTGTTCTAATTGGCAGGTAAACTAGCTCAGCCAACCAAACATGAGATGCTGGGACAGGGGGTAGGGGGGAGCCTGAAGATTCTTTGCATTATTGGGAATTGAAGAGACACACTGATGAGAAATGGATGCAGATTTTTCAAGGACGTAAATTCTTTTCCATTACCTTATTAAATAAAAATCAGTAATAATGTTTTCCACTGACAGACTGAATCTTACATCTGGATATCAATATGGTTTATAAACAATTCCAGTGACACCACTCCCATCCTTTCCTAATAGTGTAAATGAAGAGCAAAAAGTGCTTCTCCAGGACCATTTGGGGACTGAGGCCATGAAGGACTCAAGAGGAAAGGTAAAAGCTTGACTTCTAGTTTCATGAGTTAGCCATTAAATCTGAATCACTAATATCCTCTCTTATCACGTTTAAGACTATGGTCCACTCTGAGTTTTCAATGTACATTACTATGTGGATATATTATCAGGAAAAAAAATCCATTTCTCATGACCCCTCAACTTCACAGACACACGTCACATTCAAAATAAGGGAATATTCCATTCCATGAGTGCTTATTTATGTTCACACTGACCTTTGTAATCATTTTAATTCTCTCTACTACACTATGAGACTCACCAACCAGCAAACAGCAAATAAATAGCCTGATATTTTAGGACATTTAACTTCTCCTCAATTAAATTTACTGCCTCTTCAGGACAGCCTAGATGGCCTATATCTCATGAATTTTAGCTCATATAAAAGTCATCACAAAAATCTTCAGATGGAGAACAATTTCACATGTGTCTCCAACTGCATTCTTTGACTCTGTGGTCTTCTATACTTAACACACAGAAAGAAAGTAAGGACAGGCATTATCTGCTTTGTTGCTGTACGTACCCTAAGGACCATGGGATGTTTCCATTTGACTTGCAGCTGAAACCTTCCATACTTGTTATCTCCCTATTGAATGTGAGCCCCTTGGTAGCAAGGAAAATCTTACTTTTCTGTTTGTACTAAGTACTAAGCACAGTTTTTTTCTTAGCATATAATAAGTGCTTTTAAAATGCTTCAGTCATTTATGTCATTCTTAACACAACTTCTCTGCATTCAGTTTCTTCACCTTCAAAATAAGAAAGTTGTATATCAGATTGCTTGCCATCTTGGGGAGAGGGGAGGGGAGGGAAAGGAGGGAGGGAGAAAAATTTGAACTCAAAATCCTATAAAAAATAAACATTGAAAACTGTCTTTACATATATTTGGAAAAAATAAAATACTATTTACAAAAGGAAAAAAGAAAAAGAAATGAGGTTGGACTACATGGTCTCTATGGTGCCTTTTGGCTCTAAAACTTACAATCCTAATTCATAAATTAAGAAATTAATTAACCAGACAGGGTTATTAATTTCTGAATTTTTATTTCTGTGTGTGTGTGTGTGTGTGTGTGTGTGTGTGTGGAATTAGAACCCTGAAGTTAAAAAAAAAATAGAGATGCTCTGAAAATGGGCCTACCCAGTGAAAACTTGTTTCATTCCTCACTGGAGGTGAAAGCTAAGGAACTCTGCAAGCAGAGTAAAGATTATAGTATAGCTGTCAAGACTCTCCCTCACTCTGTAGCTAAATAGAGCTCCCTGGCTCTCCAGAATCTCAGAAGAGTGCTTTTGTTGAGTTTTTGTTAAAATGAATAAAATAAATGTCATGCTCAGGCTAATATTGATGGCAGCAATGAACATGGAAGACAATCTTCCCTGCCAAGGGTTTTGCAGAGAGCATCCCTGAAGTGCACTATGCAGCCAGTGGGTTCTGGAAGGCCTGGGTTCAATGCCAGAATCCTCCAATGCCACCAGGATCCAAATCATTTCACTCTCTATCATCTAGGACTATCTTCTTGCCAGAGGATTATCTGCATTAAGGATTAAATGGAGCACCTTTACTATGTGGCTACTCAGCTAGGTCCTGGGATCCCTCCTCCTAGGAAGTGGATGGATTTTCCTGGAGTCACCTTCTTCTGACTTTGTAACTTATTTGCATTTATTGTTTGTATGTATATATTTACTTGCTGTCTCCCACATTACAACATAAGATACTTGAAAGGGGAGGGGGATGTTTCATTCATGGTATTTATATCCCCAGCATGTTGCATAGTGGCTAATCAAAGCAGTGATTTAATAGATGCTTGTTTGTTTATTGACAGAATGTGTGAGAGGCATATTTGAACCCATGTCTTACTGACTCTGAAGCCAGCTCTCTATCCACTACACGAGCCCATGTCTCCTCCTACCATTCTGGGAAAGCCAACCTAGTTAAAGCATCAAGGCACCATAAAGGGCAGAAAGGAAGTGGTATGTTCCAGGAGGGCAAAACCATCTCCTTTTATACTCCAGGGCCCTGAGCCCAAGAAGCCCAGGAATAACACTTCAGACTCCATCCAGCTCAGCTTTAGGAGCCATCACCAAGGTATAGCATCACTACATCCTTTTGGAAAAGATGCCCACCATCCCTGACACCACCAACACCAGTCACTGACCAAATGTCACCCACCAGCAATAAGCTCAAGAGCCCTGGGAAGTGTATCAGGACCCCCTCCCCAGACTACCGTCTTGGCTTCCATTTAGGCCCTCACAGCCATCATCCTGGGCACAGTTACTGAAGACCCAGAGGAGAAAGTTCTTGT